CTGTTGTCATAGAGAAGGGAAGGATAGCGTCCTCATTCAAAACAAAATATACTATAAAAAAGTATAGCTGCAGGATTCCCGCAGGCCTTGAAAATTTTAAAAAGTGGAAACGAAAATAAAACAAATAACGATATTTTGTGTAATCACCGCTAAAAAAAAATTTCCAAAAAAAGTATATATGCGTGAAAATTCCAGCTTGCTAATCTACTTATCGATAAAGTTAAGGGTCTGTCTGGATTTTTCTGAGAGGTACCTATTTTGTGAAAATTTAGACATAATTTGTGAAAATTAAAAATTATATTAAAAAATCAACACAAAAATATGGATTTATCGCTTCTTATGGGATACAAAAATAAAATTTTAAGAAAAAGTATTTTGTGAAATTACCGTTTTTCCTAAAGTTGAATTTGTTAAGGTATAGCTAAACGGTAGTAAATTTGGCCTGGACAGGCCCCTGAAAGTGGTATATAATAATAACAAATATATTCTAGCATTAACCTAAATTTACAACTGCTAAAATTTTTCAAGGACTACGAGATCCCTAAGTAATAAAAATTTACAGGTTTTTTTTTAAGCCAAAAAGAAGTTTCTTTTGAAAAGGTCAAAATTCAGGAAACTAATCATTTTCCTTACCGTGCTAAATATCATATCATCCCCTAGTGTTAAGAAGCTTTTGACAGATCTTTCAAAAACTAAAAATACTTTGTTTTAGTGGCTGCCTCTTTACACCCTTTTTAGGACGGTATAAGCCATTAAGCGGGACTTCAAGTTTTACTACGGATAGAGAGGCCTGTTAACTTTTTTGTCAGTGCAGCAGCCATTTTTAGGCCTTGACTGCCTTAACAGCTGACAAATGCCAGTGCCTCCTATCCATGGCAACTCCTTTCAAATTTCTAATCTTTAGGATTTTCAGGTCATTTGCAATGTTGTTGAGCCATTTGGTAGAGGGTCTGCCTCTGGGACGTGACCCGTCGGTGTTCTTAAAGGTGACAATTCTCATGGCGCTATTTTCAGGGCTTCTCCATAGATGGCCCAGCCATCTTAGCCTATTACGGCAGATTATTTTTGTCATTTGGGACCTATTAACTCTCCACAATAAATACAGTTTTATCAATTAAAATTTTTTAGGAAACTGAAAAATAAACAATTTACTTATTTCTGTTTTTTTTTCTTACAAGGAAAAAAATACATTAGGAGAGGCTGAGACAAAACATAAGAAAGAGTTAAAGAGGTCCCATACTTCTTTCTATAAGTCCTCACGTAATATAAATATATATGTACCACTAATATATATGAATATAAAAAAAGAAAAAGGTATTATAGTGTTTTTATTTTTTAAAACACAGAAAAAAAAGAAGATAAACACTATTGACAACCTGTCCCTATATTCACTGTGCCAAAAAGGCAGTGGGAGCTATTACAGCAATCAAGGACAGCTATTATAAAACAAATTCATTCTTGTCAGCGACAATGGCAACCTGTGAATACAGTGCACTGACAAGTTTTCACTTAGCAGGGGTGATTGTCAGCCCAAGTCAAAATTACGGAAAATTTCTTGAGTTAAAAAAAAAAAAAAAACAGTTTAAATTGAAAAATTAGAAAAAAAATTAAACAAGGTTTCATTTTTCCTTTTTCTCAACATTTCTTAGTTTCCTTGAAATTTATTTAAAATTTTACACATACCTATGATGACCTGGAAAAGTAATTAAAATTTACAAATATGTCTTTCTTTCTTGAGTTTATGATTATAATAACTACTTACTGATAAAAAATGAATATTAATCATGAATATAAGCTTTATCTGGCTCTTCCTTACAAACAAATAAAATAAAGTGTGTTTTTAAGTTCCACCTTTGAAAATTTGACTTTCAGAAACTTCTGTGATCAATGATTTTTTTATACGTCTGGACCTTTGATCTCCAGGAACTTCCGGATGCGAAACTTCTCCAGAAACTTCCAGTTAGCGAAAAATCCGGAAATCCGGATTTTTCCGGAGCATGATCAGCCCTGTCTTAACTTGTTATTCTGGTTCAATGGATGTACCAGCCATAAGCATAAGGTTTAACATTAAAATACAGAATAATGTGATTGCACTGGAAAACAATATTTTTGTTGCACTTATGCAAATACTTGATCATTCATGATTCAGTTGTGGGGATTTCAAATTAAAATTAGTTTTGCTCCTCCGATTAGTTTATTTCCAATGACAGGGTTATCCCTGCTTTTTTTTTTTTTTTTGCGAAATGTTTAATAACTTTATATTTAAAAGGGAGTCGTGTAAATGTTGAGGACATGCTTTTGGAGAATTAAAGCACATATCAGGATTGAAATTGCATAGAAATTCATGCAAGAAAATGCCATATGCAGTTAGGAGTACTTCTGTATTATCAGGGCGCCTGTCTAGGTTTTAAGAGGTATCCATTACGTGAAAATTTAGACATAATTTGTAAAAATTAATAATTATATTAAAAAATCAACACAAAAATGATATGGTAAGAAAATGTTTCAAAAATTTTCTCTATAAATAAAAATCATTTATGATTGGTAAATTTCTATATATATTTCCCATATGTTCAAAAAATTTTTTTGCTAATTGGCTTAAAATTGTATCTTAATTTAAAAATTCATAAAAATCATTGTCCATAGTTACACTTAAACTTGAATTTAATAAAAACATACACTTAACAGTACTAGCACTAAATGTTATCTTCATTATGAGAACATTTTAGACAGGGTCATACAGAAAAAAGTTTTACAGAGAAAAAAATGTTTAATAAAAAAAATAAAAGGTCTATTAGAATAAATTTAGAATAATGTTTAAAATAAAGGTTCGAATTTCGACTTCCTACTACCAGAGGGGCAACCTCGTCATTTCATTTTTTAAAAAAACTTCAATTTACGGGCGATACAAACAACGAAATTTTTACGAGGCAGGGAATCTTAGAACTTGCTTTTTAAAAAGTATTTTGTGAAATTACCGTTTTTCCTTGAAGTTGAATTTTTGAAGGTACCGCTAAACGGTAGTAAATTTGAACTGGACAGACACCTGAAATCTGTTCATAATGCGGGAGCGTCTCTTGCAATGAACGACTACATTTCCAGACATGGGTCCCTAAACAATTTTAATCCTGATGATGTGCTTTACGTCTCCAAGAAATTTACACCACCCTATTTATATGTAACATTTTAAAACCTGTACATTCAACTAAAAAATTCATTTAAAAAAATAATTTTAAAAAAACTGTAGCTCGGAGAGAGAAACTTCATCGAAGAAATCTGAATTGTTCTCTAGTGTTATCTGATACCCAATTTATCTGGCATAATTTATTATTCAATAACTCTCTTGATTCCTAACTTATCTGAGAGGGATTTTATAACTGTATCTTAACTTTTTATAATCTATATTGTAATTCTTCCTCATTGATCAATAACAAAATTATTGGTTACAATTCATAAATTTTACTATACGATTTACAGGGTTGGCAGGTTTTTGACATGTGACAGTTTTTGACAGTTTAAACCATGGTTTAAACCGTCACGTCAAAAACCTCACTGTCAAAAATGTCAAAAACCTATATTCATATGTGAAATTTAATTAATGCATAAAATTTATATATTTTTTAAAGGATAGTGTTTCTAAATATGTTCTAGAAAAAATAAATTTAAAATTTTGAAGAAACACTTATATTTTGAATAGTAACCAAAATCTTGTACTTTTGAAAACTCACATCTTTTGTAATATTATGTATTCATTTTCATGTGTTATTGAAAATCTGCAGTGATATTATTAAGAAATTTATTTATAACCAAATTTAGTGTATAGTATAGATTATACTAAAAATTAGACATTTTTAAAGATAAACATTAGCAGTTTTGTACATTAGACATCTTCTTTTAAAGAAAAATCTTTTTAATATTCTTTTAAATCTTCTTAATAATCTTTTTAACATAAGACAATACAAATTTAAGTGCTTTCTGTTAAATACACAGAGTAGTTAGTGTCGATTTACAGTATATTCAGCCTATTCATTTACTATGCTGAAAATTTAGTTTATCCAAATACTTGTGAATTTCATTTTGCTGAATACTATATAGTTTTGTTGAATATCTAAATATTCAGCTGTTGAATAATTACTTCTTGCTTTCAAGATATGCATTATTTGTATTCTTAATACAAGTGGAGAAAAAAAAATTAAGAGATAAAAATTGTTTTAAAATGATAAGTGTAATAATTATAAATAAATATAATAAACAATATGAATTATATTTATCATTATTCACAAATATAACTACTTTTAAATTCAAATTAACATACTGGATAATAAAGATATTCGGTATAACATTAAAATTTTTTTTCATACACTTGTATCAAGTTTGTATTTATACAACATAACTTGTAAGTTCCTTATAAATATTAGTTATATGTTCCTTATATGTCAAAAATGCATAGTAATAAACTTTTAATTTTCTTAAGTATCAAAAAGAAATTTTTTTTTTTTTAAAATATAAATATTTAAACAATTTTTGTGCAAAATTTTTCTGCACATGCATTTGAATATAAATTTCTGAGATTTTAAATCTGTTATTTTACCTTAATTTTAATTAAAAAATATTTTAAAACCTGCTGATTACCTATAGTATAATTAAATTTCAATATAATGCATGGCAACTGTTGGTAGTTTTGAAGTTTATATATTTTCTTGGCAAACTTCAGTTTTCGACATTTTTGACGGGTTTTTGACGGTTTAAACCAGTATTATACCCTTGTCATGTCAAAAACCACTTTTTGACGACAAAAACCCAACCCTGACGATTTATAACTCAATGAATGCACAATTCAAAACTCAAACAAGTAGCTACTCTACAGCGTACTCTAATTTGTTATGACACTATCCATTTATAAACCCATAGTTTGAACTTTAAAATCTTAGACAATTATACAACAATTTTATGATCTGTTTTAATAGCAAAAAGGTTTTTTAAAGATAAAATAAACTTACCGATTGAAGACTATGTCACTATTTGCATATTTTTCTAATTTTGCTACAGGTGGAAGTAAATCATCAGGATTAACTAATAGGTCATCAGCTGCAAAAAGCTCCGAATCATTTCCGTCTTGCTTCATATCAGAATTATCTTTTAATTCCTCATTTGGATCATCAGAAGAATCTATTAAAATTATAAGATTAAATAATCAAAACTTTTTAAACAGAATATTTTTTTAACAAGTGGCTTTTTCTTATTTTTATTAAAAAGACAAAGTAAAAGTTATAATTTGGTAATCCTCTTATTTTGACAATTTTTTATGTTCTTACAAAAAACAGGAAAAATAACTTCCAAATTGAAAACAAAAATGAAGCTTTAATTGTATATAGAATAGAAGATTTTATATACAATAAAAGCTTTAAGGACCAGTGTCCAATACAAAGGAAGGGCATCTAATTCTACACTCTAACTCAGGGGTTTCCAACTTATACGAGGCCGGGGGTCACAATTAAAACACCAGACAAATGGCGGAATGGCGGGCCGCAACTTTATCAGACTTTTATATAGGACTTTTTTTATGTTTAAAGGAATATTAAATATTACTGTCAGATTTTTATCAAGTTGTACAAAACAAAAGTATTAAATTACAAATCAAAATAAGTAGATTTTTACCTGAGAAATAAATATTTTTGCACCGTTGGTATGTTAAATTTCACAGAAACGAAGAAATGAGGCTTTTTGTGAACAAAAAAAAAGTATTTTAAATCCATCAGGATTTTTTAAGAAAACTGTCCGCAAAAAATAGCTACTAATATATTTTAGTTTTCGGGCCACAAAAAAAAGTCTTCGCGGGCCACCAGTTGGTAACTACTGCTTTAACTGACAAATGAAATGACTTTTAATCAATAAACAAATAAGAATACAGTTATTAACTTATTTATTAATAATTTAATTTATAAAAATTTCTAAGAAACCTATCTGTGTTTTGATTTGAAAAAATTCTTTGTTACATTTCATCCTTTTCTGTTTTTTAATTTCAGCAACCTAATTGCATATGTACTAACCTGCCTAGCAGCTTTTTTTTAGGTTTGATTTATGCAACTTTTAAATCAAATATTTTTACATCGATAGACTTGATGCATATAGAGGTGCTTTTATTAATCTGGATCTAAGTGATTTTATTACTAATCAGAGTGAGAGATGATTTTATTACAAATCAGAGTGAGAGGTGATTTTATTACTAATCACTCAATCTGGATTGTTTAAAAGCAAGGCAGTTGTAGTAAGAGTGGGATGAACTTGATATCCAATACTTTTGCTTGGAACTTGATATTCAAATTTCAATGTTAATAACTAGAAAAAATACCTTTTTTAATATTAATTATTGAAATCTGTTAGCCTTATTTTCTCATTTATCATACAGATAAAATAAAGGTGGTACTCCTGCAGGGTGGCCACTCGAATCAGATTTCAAATTTCCCTGATTTTTCCAGGTTTTCCAGATAAAAATCTTAAAATTTCCAGGTTTTTGTTTCTTTTTTCTTATAAAGTATAGGATGTGTACAGTCCGCAAAAAAAAAAGAGATATCACCATGAATAACTTTCGTTCT